CAGCCGCTCCCGGCAGGTCGTGTGCCACTGCAGCCCTGGGTACACAGGTGGGTGCCTGCTGCAGCATGCTCAGTGCCCTTGGGGGTCCCCTGTCCTCAGGCACTGTCCAGCGCTCTGTGTCAGCAGGTCCCCGCTGTGATGAGTGTGCCCCCGGGTACTATGGAGACCCACTGCAGCCTGGTGGGCGCTGCCTGCCCTGCCAGTGCCACGACAACATAGACCTGACGGACGTGGAGGCATGTGACCGGCGCACGGGGCAGTGCCTGCGCTGCCTGTACAACACCGCAGGGCCCCACTGTGCCGAGTGCCAGCCTGGCTACTATGGAGATGCCACACGGCACAGCTGCAGGCGTGAGTACCCACTGCCACACTGAGACAGACTTGCCTCCAGGGCCTGGCACGTCCGTGGGCACAATGTGCACACATGGCTGCCCTTGCTTGTGCACAGTGTTGTGGGGGCCCTGCAGCCCTGCTCTGCTCTCAGCTGTGTCCTCTGCCCAGCTGCAGCACTGCAGCCCTGTTCCTGTCCCCATGCCCAGCTTATCCCATCCCATCCTCATCCCATGCTCATTCCTGTTCCCACTGCCAACTCATCCCCACCACCATCCATCTGTCCCCATGCAGTCCTTATTCCATCTCTATCTCTACCCTGTGCCTGTCCCATCTCCATCCCACCCCATCAGTGGTCTTTATGCTGTTCCCATCCCGCCTCCATCTAAGTCCCCACCCCATCCCTGCCCAATGTCTGTCTCCATCCTGCCTCCACCCATGTCCATTGCCATACCATCCCTGCTTGTGTCCCCATCTGCACCTCCATCTCATCTCCACCCCAATCTCATGCCCATCCCTGTCCTCATCCCATCCCCATGCCCTCCAGATTCTCCTATCCCTGTCCCTGCTCAGTGCCTCTTGGTTCCAGGTTGCTCCTGCAACCCCCTGGGCACTGATGCCAGCACCTGCGGGCCCCAGCAGTGCCACTGCGACAGGCACACTGGGCAGTGCCACTGCCTGCCCCACGTGGAGGGCCAGAGTTGTGACCGCTGCAGCCCCAACTTCTGGAACCTGGCCAGTGGGCAGGGCTGCCAACCCTGTGCCTGCCACCCCCAGCACTCTCTGTCACCTGCCTGTAACCAGGTGAGACATGACGGGGACAGGGGACAGCAGGGTGGGGTGGTGCTGGGGGTGTGCTGCAGCAGTGCCAGCCTCGGCCATGCTGTGTTTGTCAGTTCACAGGGCAGTGCTCATGCCGGCCGGGTTTTGGGGGCCGGACTTGTACCGACTGCCAGGAGCACCACTGGGGTGACCCACGACAGCAGTGCCGAGGTGAGAGCCAGTGCCAGTGGGGGTACCACAGCAGGCCCCATGGCACCCTGACACCACTCTCCCTGCAGCCTGCGACTGCGCCCCCCGTGGCATAGCCAGTGCCCAGTGCCACCGCAGCAGTGGCCACTGCGACTGCCGGCCTGGCATCTCTGGAGTCCGCTGTGACCAGTGCGCCCGAGGCTTTTCTGGTACCTTTCCTGCCTGCCAGCCCTGCCATCCCTGCTTTGGGGACTGGGACCGCGTGGTGCAGGACCTGGTTGCCCGCACCCGGGCGCTGGCGCAGCGGGTCAGCGTCCTGCAGCACACCGGGGCCACCGGCGCCTTTGAAGGCACCTTCCGTCGACTGGAGGAGAACCTGGCCACTGTGCGTGATGTGGTGGCTGCCCGCAATGCCACCGCTGCTAATGCTGCTCACTTGGCCACTGGCAC